TGGCGTAAGGTGTGAAAAGGCTCTGATCCTGAACTGGAGGTTGATGGTCGAGACTAGGTCGGCGATCGTACCCCTACGTCCTCTGCATAGACCTAGTCTCTCGGCGTAGCTGGCTGTACGCTGATTGGCTGGTCGGCGTGCGGCCGGAGCTCAGTTGGAAGTTGTAGGGGAGAGGAGCCACTACACCATCATCATAAGTTGGTATGCCTGTTTACCATATCAGCCACAGCTAGGGATGGGGGTAGTCCTTGTAAGGTACACTAGATACTTCAAAATAACAAGGAAACCATTAGGCTACTTTATTCACAAACACACTCTTCAGCTAGTCAGCTGGAACAGTACATTCAATCATGATTTAATTAATCAATTCAGTCACCAGTGACCTGCCAACATCATCTGATGCTTTCTGCATTTCTACAACTATTCCACAGCCACCAGCAGCCTTTCCATTTTTTATTTTGTCAATTGATTGCATCGCTCACTTCCTTTTAATCGTTGGGCATGGGTCCCTGTACTGACCGTTTCTCCTAGGCTGCACCTGTTCCATTCATAGTACAGGTACATACTTTTTCAGTAGTTGATTGTAGATCTATATGTATTTTGTTCAAGCATCCTTGATTTCCTCTCTATCAACAAATACATTACTATGGTTATATTTCATGCAATGATCACCAACAATGTCCTTGTTTCTACCCACTACTTGCCTTGCTGTTCTGTATGCCGCGCTTCTTGCCTTTGCACTTTTCAGCATATCTGCAAATACATCCTCTTCAAAAAGGCTTTTTGTGTATGTTCCCTTAATTCGTCACCCTGAATTTTTATCGGAAAAATCTTAAAGGTGAGAAAAAATTGAAGTGGGTTACCTGCTTTTAGGTGGTATAATTTTTTTTAATTCTGGCTTTCTTAATAGGTTCTCTTTTGCTTTTGAAAGTTGTGTGGGCTTTTAGTAACTATCAAGGGTGCTAACTTGCAATTGGTTTGCTAGCTACAACACATGAATGATGTTAAGGTAAAGATAGTGAGATTGGAGTGATACAGCCATGATTTTTGTATAATTTTATGCACACAACTCTACACAATGCGATACAGAGGCAAAGAGGGAATTTTGAACATTTATTGTAATAATGCAACTATTACATTGTGTAGAGCTACATATATAAAATTACACAAAAATCTATAGCTGTATTGCTCCAATCTCACTATCTTTACCTTAACCTCAATTATGTGTTGTAGTTAGCAAACTATTCCTGAATTCAACATTTTGAAATATACTTTGTGGCTTAGAATTGTCCCAGGAATACACCCTGTAATTTAATGTACTGTACAGGGTACATCTTTGTGAATCACCCTGTACTGTATATGTTGAACATAATTATGGACTATAAATCCCCATACTGCTAGCAATTTGGCTTTGTCATGAATTATGGGAGAGCTCTATACAGATCCATTTCTCAAGATGCATGTAGCCATTTCAGTCTCATTACATTATGTGAAGCCTCGGTCACATATATTTTCCGCATTTAACTGTGTGTCAGTTAAAACGTCACTGTTTCTCACCAAACAAATAACTTATAGGAGGAATCAAAACACAATATATATCTGAACATTTATTTTTTTAAATCTTTTTAATGATAGGGCAGATACATAAACCCTAGATAATAAATACGAAGTCATGATTTGCACTAAATCATGTACAATAAATACCATCTGCTGGATCAAAAAATTATAATTAAAAACATGAAGTAAACCTAATATACAAGACTAGATTTTTTTCGTTTTCAGATTGAAGAACATAAGCCGAGAGACTGTATACACATCTCAAACGCTTGGTATGAACTATCTGGCAAGTAATACCAGACACTACTTGCTCCACATTCACTCACGTTATCCTCTCAGGTTATGGGAGACTGGACAGTGAGCCATATTATTAGAAACTTACATTTGTTCATTAATAGTGAAGTGCAACATTCTCCATACATTTAAATGTCATCTGGGAAATCATGGTTACATGCTGTGTTAAATAACAAAGTTAAGCTTGTAATGAAATGGCTTATTGTCTACTTGGCATTTTTTCTTACCCAACACTTTGGGCATTAAAGACAATTCTAGTGGCACAAGAACGAAATATATTCACAATGAACTAAAAACTAGGATGAAATCATAATTTTTGTCTTTGTACTACAAATCTATGTTTGCATTATAAATAGGATTTAAGTTTATTGGCATAAATCATGAATATATATATGTACAGATATATGCATAACAACTATTTGATGGAGGAAAAATGAGCCAAATTCAAGAGGTGGTGACTCGCTGAACGGGATCACCTCCTCTTTTTCCTGAGTGCAAGAGGCCGAAAATGACTTGATACTGTACTACTTCCGTTCTAATGCAACTGAACTGCATTTTTATTCTAGATTACAGAAATGCTGTATTCCAAGTCCACTCACAACATAAATACATCAGATCCCTTACAAATCCCCTGAATGAGTAAAGGCATCATAAGTACAAGACCGTCGCTACCCGAGGCCACTACTGGTAATCACACCTGATTCTGATATTGTTCTTTATATTTGGTCCTAACTGCAGTCACACCTCAATTAAAACATTGGCAACATTTGCAATGATTTCAACTAATAGGATATGAGTTGGGATCACAGAGCATCATTCAGGAATGAGTAATTTACCAACATGGTAAATTATCACCTAAACACCTCTCTCTGTCCAGTGTGGACCAATTACTGTATATTTGCAATGATTATCATTATTTCTTGACTGGGACACTAGGTGAACTTTGTGAGCTGCTGGAATGGTCTTTCGTAACTTTTGTATAATACCTAGAGACTATAACAACCAGAATTCTTATCCACCACAAGTGCGGTCAACTGTAAGCCAGTCAGAACTCTTCTGGCTGGTTCAGTAATTTTGACTGCAAGAGGCTGCTCAACAAGCCAGTCACCAGCTATAAGTCTAAAAGTAATCAAGTTGTGGATGAAAAGTCTGGTTCGTGTGTAGTGACTTGGGAAACTGTGCTTCACAAAGACCCTGACTAAAACACAAATTCCCCAGTCGCATCACAAAGTTTAGACTGTAGGAGACTTATCACATATAACTTGTCAGAAACAATGAAAGGCTCCTGATAAGGCAATGTAGTATTTTCTCCTCACATACACAGGATACAGGAAAACTAGTTATGTAACATATGAATCACTATTGTTGATCAAACTAGTTAAGGCAAAGGTACACATTTACTGTACTAATACTGCACTATCAGAACTGCCTTGTCAAAAGCAGCTGCCCAAATGAGGGAGGGGGGGGGGGGGTTAGGCGAGCTTTGAATTTTCAGCAATCCCTCAACCCAATACTGCACTTATCTATATTCTAACCAAACAGCGGATAAATCGCTGTATCTCTACCCAGACCTTCAACATTTCTAAACCACAGACACTTGTATGATCACTGACCTAACTAAAGTAACTTAGAAATGTTTTGTTAAAACAAGAGAAGTTTTCTGACTTTCGTTCTCACAACCTTCAGTGTACAAATATCTAAGTTTTATTACATTAGTAGACACGGGGAAAAATAAATTGTGTGTTGGAAGTCCAAGGGCTTTGAAGGTCATAAACCCCTTAACAGTAAAGTTTGATTCACAATGTTGTGGCAAAAACACCGGTATGCAACACACTACTAATCCCATCCCACATGGCCAACTCACAAACACACCAATGGTTACTACCCTCTTAATGCATGTAAACTCAACACACACGACCCTGATTTTGATTATATTAATGACATTTATAGACTAAGAACCACTTGCTCGGTACACATTCTTTTGGCAGTATTTGCATCCTCTGCGTCTCTTACTCCCCCCAGATCTCCTCCTCTGCAATGACTTCTTTTTGAAGACTTATGCTTATCATCTTCAGTATCAAACGACACATTTGCACTATGTATGTTTCTATGAATGGTGATATCTTTCTCTGTGGCTTCTCTTCTTTGTACCTCTTCATTAAGCTTGACTTCCAAGTCATCAAGAAAGAGTCTGGTCAGGTGATGCGAGTGGAGATGCTGGCCCAGAGTTGTGAGGTGGTCAGCAGCATCTTCCTGGAGGGCTGTGTGGAGTGTGTCTTGTTTTTGTCTCCAACACCCACATTCCAACACCTTCCTACTCGACACTGCAACGGCCTCTGTTGTTCCCATGCTGAAGCTACCCAAGCCCACATCTGGGGCCATATCCTCGCAGCTGAGCCCTGTAGGCGTCTGTCATACCTGGCAAGCGCTTGGGACCTTTTTGACTTCCTGTCGCTGCCACTGACACTGATGACAAGGCTTGCAATCAGCTTCAGTTTTGTTGTCTTGAAGAGCAGTTTCCCACTCAACAAGTTGACCCATGAAGTTGAGGTTAGGTGAGATAATGAGACGCCGGGACTTGACGTACTTGTAGGAATCGACCATAGTCATGCGGGTGTGCTTCATCAGGTAGGCAATGACAATGGTGGGGGAGCGTGAGACACCCGCCTGACAGTGAACCAACACTCGTGCACCTGCCTGTCGTGCCTCATCTGCAACAAAAAACAGTAAGAATAAATATAAGGAACACATTAAGCTACAACATTGTGATACACTTGATTACATACATCCGTACTCGTATGTTGGTCATAAAATATGGAAATCATATTTACATGATTTATACCTTATGAAGATACATTTTGTTAATCACCCAAGAAAAACCAAGGTTCTTTTAAATTCCACCTTAAAAGGTCTGGCCATTAAGATGTTTCTACTGCCTGTATATAAACTAAAGTATCGGTCTTTAAATATATACAATTATTATCATAGCATTTCCAATCAACAAAGTCTATACATCTGCTCCCAAAACAATTATAATTACCGAAAGTTTAAAATTCCAAGAAAACTGGATAATTTCCCTCACAATAGTAACCCTTACCCTATTTTCATTACCAAAATAACCCTGAGTATTTTCCTCATTACACAAGTAACTCATTTATAAGGGTTTCTGCAACAATGAGCTCACTATAAAATTGCCATTCATTCAGCCTTCAGACCAACTGTCCAAGGGTAGCTCGCCGCGAGTGGGACAAAGCAATAATTGTTCGCCGCGGCTTTTGTTTCTCGGGTGAGTCATAGCGGAACACTATTGTTAGGCCCAGATGGGTTGACGGCGCTGTTATGCGCGACACTCGCTGACGATATATATATATATATATATATATATATATATATATATATATATATATATATATATATATATATATATATATATATATATATATATATATATATATATATATATATATATATATATATATATATATATATATGCTGATAACCACAAGGAAAAAGAAAACACGAAGTGTGTGTGTGTATAAAATAACATGTTACCAACAGTATGAAAAAACGCATCTAAATATAAAAAAGTCATTACTAATTAAATTGGACAGTAAATATTCAACCTACTTGTAACAGTAAAGTCGAAAATTGTACCGCCATAGGCGATCGCAATCCATTACCTAACAACTCTTACGGTAGAACATTAACCTAATGCTCCAAAATACCGCACTCAACACCCCTCCCCCTTCTCCCCGACCACGCTTTCTCCCACTTTGTATTATGAGTCAGAAAGAGGTAGGAATGCAAAAAAAAGCCGTTAAGTGCATAACAGCGCCCTCCGGAACAGCGGTGATGGCAATCGACGAAATTACCTCCTAAGGGCCTGAATTCTTAAAAATTAATAAATAAACAAAAATAAAAAAATAACGTTATTTTTGTCTCCGTTGTTAGGGATGGGATGGGATGACGCTTCTCTGGCTCGCTCAGGTTTCATCACATGCTACCTGCCAAAATGGCTTGAAGATAGCCAATGGCAGCGTCGAAAATTTATACCATTTCACTAAACTGAACTGAACTGTCAGAGGTGTAAAGACGTTTTCACGTGAATGGAGAAACGCAATTTGTGCGGGATTGTAGCGTACTGGTTATGGTAAACAGGAAACCCACCTTCATTGTCAACTTGATACTTATGAATGAAGACATTACCTGTTAAATTTCTTGTTTAGTGTTAGTGCTTGCCTAGAATTTGAGTTATACATAAAAGCTGGTCTACATTGCAGGAAATATGTGCACAGCCTTTAGGGAAGCATGTAGCAGAGCAAGGATTAAGAGACATTTCTTGGCACAGAGTACCGTCGTCATACACTACAAGTTCTACAACACAGCAGTCACAGTGTGTTGTGGATTAGTGACTCATGCACTTAGTCATCCGCACGCTAGACTGCGTTCACCCTCTCCCCGCCATCACATAACAATTTCATCAACTTACATAACAGCGGGACTAAAACTGCCAATCTATAGAAGGCAAAGCACAAAATCAAATACTAGAGACGGAGGAGGAGCGGTGAAAGGGGCGATAATAATTACGGTAAACAAGGCGGGTGGCGGCCCGAGGAGAGGTTGGTAGGTGAGGGCTGTCTCACGCTTCATTGCCACCCACCACTCCGCCCTCAAGTCACTCACACGCCAAACACAGATTTACTCGCATAAATTACCATCACCAGTCAACCGTACAGGCCTACGTGTGGGGCCATACTCTTTAGTTGATACAACACCATTACTTGAAGAAATATGCGTCATGAAAAGGCCTTTGCTTCCACCAGCTAAGTAATACAAAACTGACAACTATACAAAGCTTAAGTAAGATTAAGGTGTGATATGCAATACTTTTACTGTTAAATTGTATCAAAGAGGGAATTAGAGAAAAAACGTGATAGAATATGCACGGTATAAGACGACCACTGAGTGAAGTATGTTACTGTACGGTTGGTGTTGTAATGTGGGCTCAGTTTCCACTACCCAGGCGTTATTGAAACCTCGTAACCAAAAGCACAAAAAGGGATATAAAAATATCGTTGAAATGCATCGAGACAATCGGTACTGGATGTATTTTCTCCAATGTGGGAATAATTTAGCACACGAATTTTCAAACTTTCTACCCCAGAGATTAAGTGTGACAACAGGCAGTGGTGGAAGCTGGTTGACGTTACTTCTGAAGGAACAAACATGACGGACGCTTTTGTCTCACCAATAAAGGTCAATCCTCCCTCTTAGGCCCACTCCAATCCCGATCGGCAAACAGGGTGGTTAAATCCCCTCTCCTAACAGCCGCGATCGACTCCCCTCGACATGTTCCCCTATCGACGTTGACTAACACATGGCGCAAGCTCTAAACAATGAATGGATCAGTCAGTCCAGGATTATCAATGACCACAGCCACCCCCTCCCGCCTCCTCACCCTCCTAAAATCTCTCCCTTCCATCTCCCCTCTCGCCATTATTTCTCAACGCCCTCTCCTCCCCCCCCCCCACCTCTTTCCTTTTATCAAAAGATTCCACTTCCTAACATGGGTTTTCAATCTGGTGACCGTGCACGCGTCCTCTTGGGGTTTCTTGTTCAATAATCGTCAAAACTTGGACAAAGATGGCGGCGCAAGAAAACCTAAATTGATGTGCGACTCCAGAGGGGAGAGAGAGCAAAGGAAAAAAGGGGGGAGGGGGATCCCATTACTGACTGCTAATTCTGAAGTCTGTCATATGCAGGCCTCATTATATCTTACCCAACCAACGTTCCATTCTCCCTACATGACAAGTCTCCGTCCGAAAGCGTTAAAGACGACTGGTTACGCTTTCACCAACAAAAAGATACCAAAACTACGTCTCTAGATATTTATAGATTTGAAAATAATGGGCATCAAACCAACAATTACTAATATACATATAATTTAATTTATTTGGGGAATTTGAAGAAAGACACAAAAGGAAGGCTGAATACTTCGAAGTCACTACGTAACAGTGACTTCGCAAGCTATCTCGGCAGGATTGTAAAGCGACCCCCGCCCATTCATGAGTCATCTCCCGAGTTCTACCTGTTGCTCAGTCTCGGTTCGCTGCTTCGCCGTACACCTTCTAACATTGAAAGCAGGATTTACAATGCCGGACTAATAGTTTCAAATATTTTTGTCACTTTTTAAACTAGCAAACTTTTTGAGTGTTTATTTTTCCGATTACATTTTTTGTCCCATATGTCACTATTTTTAATACAAATAATAGTTCTACACTCGCAGGCGAACATAACACAACAAAAGGAAAATCTTCAGAGTAACGCAGTTTACGCCTATAGGTTATAAACCAAAGAGGTTTGTAAATATAACGCAACAGTGTAAAGTACAGTATTATAAAGGAAACACCAAAACACGCAGGCAGCAACACCAGGAAACGCAGCAACACCGTGAACTATGTCATGTCGGTGGCCGCGCGGGAACAAACTATGCCTGGCATAACTGGGGCTTTGTTCCCTTACCACCACCACCAACCAGGGAATTAATATTACACTCCGTATTCATAACTTGGCTGATGATCAGTGGTACCAAAGGTGTAGCGTTTTATGTTACCAAATGAGAGTGAAAGAAATAACATACACGCGCCACCGCTGTCCAGTATAATAAGGTGAAGGCACTACAACAGGTGGTCATGGTGGTCAACAATATCGTGCGGTGATAGGTCAAACCACTCACACGCTAACCCCACACACGCTTCCAGTTCCTTATCCGAGTTTGTATATTCAGATTCATTTAGAGGCACCGCAGCTGAAGGATACGAGGCGCTCTAGCTACGACACTCCCGGAGATATTTGACGAGATTTAGGCCATTACCCATCTTAGCTGTTGGTCGGTTCTCTTAGGTCTATCATAACACAGGTTATCACTAGTAATCAACAACGCCTGGCATTCCTCTCCACCACTTAATGACACACAGATGAAAATCGGGGAGTCTACCTGCCAGCAGTGGCGATCTTTTCGGGGAGGAGCGTTAGAAGGTAGAGAATGACTCGAAATTTCTTCAAAGGCTCCGGATGGTCTCTCGACAATATCTTCCTGGAAGAGTGGGGTGGGGGATGAGGTTGAGGGGGTGGTGGCGAGATGGGGAAGAGTAAGTGTGGGTATCAGTCATGGTGGGAAACCCACGGGCCCGGGGCTAGGACAGCGGGAGTGTGGGGCGTCATCCTCCAGTGTTGCTTCATCTTTTCCATCCTGTACCTAACCATCCTTTATCACCGTTCTGTATCCTATATCACGCTATAATAACCTTCACCCCACTATTACACCAACTCGTTCACGATACACAGCTCCGGAGACAGATGGGAATCCTAGTGTTGTGTGTGGATGTGGTTTGGGAAAGACAGGAGATACCACGGTGCAGGCGCTCGGGTTGCCAGAGCCGAGAGGGGACATTTACTATTTTGGCTTTGATTAGCAGATGGAAGTGGCTGCCTTAACAGAAATAAGCAAAGTCCAAATTAAAGTGAAAATTAGAGGTTCTACCTAATTGCTTTAAGTTAACCCTAGTTGAGTCAGGCCGGCAGTGTACTAACTTTTCACAGGATATCCCGTGGAGAAACTGTAAATATGATTAAGTGACAACTGGTTCGTTATCGAGGTTAAGTATTATAGCAGAGCTTACTGTTTTGCAAGAGATTCGTTCTGTCAGTG